AGTACTCCGCCTCGTGGACAACCTGTGGCCTCCACCGATTTTACGATTTGACGGAGAAGAACCGTTCACAACCAGCCAGTGCTTCTCCACCCGGTGTTGCCTCTTTCCTAGGAGGAAAGCTTTCTCAAGAAATGACAGGTTTATGAAGGTATGTTCGGGGCTACTTTCCTATCGCGAGATTTCCTGTAGCTTCTTGGCATGGGGCCACCCCACGGGCTTCTCTGTTCATAGTATTCTATGCCCTCCGCAAGCTTTGTTCAACCAGGAATCACAAAGAGCCCCAGAGGCATGCCACAGGAGGCCGATGGTCCAGAAATCTTCAGTGAAGGTGGCCTCAGAGATGGCATTTTTACCTCCACTGAGATGAGGGCCGAATTCAATAACAGGCTAGCAATTTGCGGTCTGCAGAATGCAGGATGCACAGCTACACTGATCTCCTACTTCAGGTTTTTTTCTGTTTGTTTTGTGTGTGTGTTTTTAGAGACCCAGTCTCCCTTTGTAGTTCAGGCTGACCCTGTGTTAGGCAGCCCAGGTTGGCCTCGAACTCACCGATATCCTCCTTCCTCAGCCTCAGGGCTGGAATTACAGGGATGCGGTATCACGCCTGGCTTTTTTTTTTTTTTAATGTAATTCATACTTGGAGTGATTATGAGAATTGCTTAAGTTAGTGACAATAACTGGAAACTACGGTGAAACCCAATCATGCTGTCATTTTGTATAGCCTTTAAGTAGTCTTTACTGGAAGAGTTCTGCCTATGTTTACGTTTATGTGGATTTAAAGTGTGTGAGCTTGACTACCTCCCTTCAGTTTCCAGAGATTGGCAAAGCTTTTCTTTCTTTTCTGGTTTTCTCTCTCTGTCTCTCTCTCTCTCTCTCTCTCTCTCTCTCTCTCTCTCTTTGCTACTGGGGATTGAACAGGTGGCAGAACCACTGAGCTAAATTCCCAACCCCAAAGCATTTCTTAATGCATTGTAGAAACCCTATTCCGAGTTAACTAGCCAATCAGTTTTGCTTTTCCAGAGCAAGGACAGTACTGCATTGTGTTCTGATTCAACCACCTTTCCTTTCTCTTGGACCATTTCATTTCCTGATTGGCGATTCGATCTGTCTACTCACTACTCACCTTGCTGTCTGTTCTTGTCTGTGTTGCTTTCCTCATTGATTGAATCTTCACTGACCTGAGAACTCCATGCAGTATTGTCTCCAGATATATCTCACCTATACCTCTGTACCCTGTTGAACACTCTCTTTTAACCTGGATCCACTTGCTATGATTGAATGATCACCTGTCAGATGTTCTTTAAGGTTTGGACTTTGATTTGCCTGTTTGTAACTTCTGCACCAGCTCTCATAGCTACTTAGTACAGATGGTACTGGAAAAATTGTAAAACAACTCCTTCTTATCATTTTGTGGAAAATGAGTTTTTAGTGCTGTTTGGACCTGAGACTATTTCATAGGCTTTCCGTTTGGAGAATTTCACAGTGTACAGCCCATGACTCACTGATGGAGTGGTGAAGGAAATGTTCAGCAAGTAAGTATAAGTCTTGAAATTATTTCTGTACTTAGCACAGAGCCTAAGTTTCCCCCACCCCCCAATTTGTTTTTGTTTTTGTTTTTTCAACAGGGTCTCATTGTGCAGTTCAGGCTGGCCTTGAACTCAGTATGTAGCCTAGGCTGGCCTCAAACTCACCATGATTCTCCTACCTCTGCCTCCCAAGTGCTAGGATTACAGGCACTCCCAATTCTGGCTAAAATCAAGGTTTCTGAGGTCTTGATTTTGAGTAGTATTTTTCCTGGTGTGGCTGTAAAGAAAATGCTTGCCAACAAGAACCATGACAAGATTATCCCTGGTGGCAACTGTCTGTACTACCTCTCAGAGCCCCTTGAAGCTTTTTGTTGTTGTTGTTGTTGTTGTTGTTGTTGTTGTTGTTGTTACCGGGGTTCAAACTTAGGCCCTTGTGCTTTTGAAGCAGATAGTGGAACCCCTGAGCCAAATCCCCAGCCCTCCCTTGAAGCTTTTGGTTGTCCAGTAAAACATCACTATGTCTCACTGTACAGGGCAGGCATCTCTGCACCACCTGACACTTATAAATCAGACTTTGTTTCTCTTTCCCATCTAGAGCTACAGTTGGTGAAAGGAATTTTATTTTTATTTACTCTATTTTATTCATTCACCCAATCACCAGACCATCAATCCTGTATTAGATGCCAAGCACTGTGCTTAATTCTCTTAGTGAGTAAAGGGTAAGATACTGGTTCCTGTGGCACTTACGGGCTGATAATCTAGGGTAGAGGAAGAAGATACGGCAACAAATCAATAAAGAATGTTTAACTTTATATTGTTCAAATTTTATTAAAATATTCATAGACTACCCTTTTAAAAAATGAAACATTCAGAAAAGAACTAGTGATAGCCGGGCATGGTGGCACACACCTGTAATCCCAGCACTCGGGAGGCTGAGGCAGGAGGATCACTGAATTCGAGACCAGCCTGGGCTACATAATGATTTCCAGGTCAGTCTCAGCTACACAGTGAGACCCTGTCTCAAAACAAAGCAAAAACACAAGAACAACAACAAACTGATGATATAAGAAATCTACAGTAATGTGTAAAATATTTGGAGAGTTACCAGTATATTGATATTTGCATTCTCAAAGAAGCTTGTTAATGCAGATGAGCCTGTAATGGTTTAGTTGATTGTAAAAGTCACAGGGGTATGTGTAGCCCCTCTGCTAGCAGGGATTAGTAACCTGCAGAGGGAGTGGATGGCAGCCTCATCTCATTTGTTTTTTAGGTCTTTTATTGGTGGAGGTCCTGGGGATCCAACTCGGGCCCTTGTGCTTGTGAGGTAGGTGTCAGAACCACTGAGCTAAATCCCCGGCCCTAGGTCATATTCTTAATTGGCATCTATTGGACAGGAAGACCGAAATAACTTTTTGCACTCCCAGCCCTATAATTTTCCTGGAGGTCTTCCTGGGGTTGCTCCTTTCATGACTATTTACTGCTAGAGGTCAGGGAAACCTTTCAATGAATCAGGGCCCCTGAAAATGATACAGAAAAGCGCTATAGTTTAAAAGTAATATTTAAAAAATCCATTTATTCAAGGCTCACTATGGATACAGTGCTTAAAAGGTTCTTTCTATCCCATTTAATCTTCACAGTCCCGGTATGAAGTAGTATTGATAAATCTCAGGTCTATGCAAACTAAAATTTCTGACAGGTGGTGATACTCGTGGGTCTATCTCTTGTGTCTTTAGGTTTCTCTTGAGAGCAGACATAAGGTGGCTCAACATCGGACCCTTGCCACGATCAGCTCACGATGCCAACCACTGGCACATTACTACTTTGGTTTCAATCAGTGGTCCAAAAGGGCAATCAAGGTGAAGCCTGTAGATTTTCACTAATCACACTGTCTTTGAGCATTGTAATTCTAGACTTTAGACAGAAGATGAACTGGGTTTTGGGGAGGACATGTGAGAGGCCACCTTTTAAGGGTGACTATATCTGAATTGTCCACCTAGAATTAATAATCATGCTAATCGTGGGTGTTGGTGTTACTAATTTTTTCCATTGTCTGTGTGGTATGTTATAAGGAGTGATTAATCTATAATAATTAATCCAGTAATTAATTTGCACATTTTACTTTATTTTGAAGCTAGTCAGTGCCTCGATTTTTCCTGGGATTATTAGAGTTTTGCTTTGATTTCTGTACATTGAAATCCTAGGGCTGCTGGCCATGGTGCTCTATGGTAGAGTGATTTTCTAGCATGTGAGAGGCCCTGGGTTCAATCCCACAACTGAAAAAACTACAACTGAAGCAAGGTGCGATGGCTGATGCCTCTAATCCCAGCACTCAGGAGACTGAGACAGGTGGATAGTGAGTTCAGGGCCATCTGGGCTGCATTGTGAGTTGGAGAACAGCCTGAGCCAAATAGCGAGACTCTGTCCCAGAGAAACCAAAACTAAAACACATCCTAAGAAGGACTTTTCATTCCACATTCTAATGGATTCAGGAGCTTTCTGTCCTTGAAGGAAGGGAAAATGAAGATGTTGCAGCTCCACTGGAGAAGCAAAGCCTGAAGTTCTGTGTTTTATTTTTATTTATTTATTTATTTTTGGTACCAGGGACTGAACTCCGGACCTTGTGCTTGGGAGGCAGGCGGCAGCACCACTGAGCTAAATCCCTGGCCCAGTTCTTCTGTATTTTAGAGGGAGTGCTGCAGCCCCATGAGTGCTGGAATCCTGGAGCTGGCATTGCAGAAGAGCCTTTGGAGAGCTGAAGGAAGGTCCATTCTTGCCTTTTTTTTTTTTATTTTTGGACCAGGAATGGAATTCGGGTCCTTGTGCTTGTGAGGCAGGCACTGCCTCAGAAGTACTGAGCTAAATCCCCAGCCCGGAAGGTCCATTTTTTTTTTTGAGACAGGATCTCACTATGTAGGGGAGACTGACCTGCCTTGAACTTACTGTGTAGCCCAGGCTGGTCTTGAACTCACAGCGATCCTCATGCCTCAGCCTCCTGAGTGCTGGGATTACAGGCGTGCACCACCACGCATGGCAAGGGAAGGTCCATTCTTAATAGGAGGGGGAGGAGAGGATCTTGATTTTTTTTAATTTCTAAAATTCACTTTTCATCTACCTATGAGGCCTTGCCCATACTAAGCTTCTAAATTCCTGGGCAGAATTTTTGTGCCTTATAATACGGTTTTCACTTTCTGCAGTTTCTAACAGAAACTTTAAATGTGAAATTTAACAATCAATTTCCAACCAAATAAAAAGCCTAGAATAAGGAAGGAAATAATATTTCTCCTGTTTTGGAACAAGGTCTCCTTGTATAGTTCGGCCTGAACTCACTATGTAGCCTAGGTGTGCCTCAAACTCAAGGTGATCCTCCTGCCTCATCGTCTGAGTGCTAGAATTACAGTTGTGCACCACCATACCTGGCTTGTTTCTCCAGTTTTTAGTTAAGACCTTGCTTTATTGCTGGGTATGGTGCCTCAGGCCTGTAATTCCTACACTCTGGCATTCTGAGTGGGGAGGATCCATCTGGGCAATGTAGCAAGACCCTTTCTCAAATACAAAATAAAACTGCTAGGGATGTAATTTGGTGCAAAGGCCTATGTTCAATCCCTAGTACAAAAAAACAAGAACATCAACAAAAAAAACAACAATGAAAAAACCCAAAAAGAGAAATTGCTTCATGTTGAAATAGGACTCCAAATACAGAGTTCTTATAGTTTTCAGGTATCTCAGCAAAGTCATCATCTAAAGAGCTCCATAACCTAGGCCCAGTGCCACACACTTGTAATCCCAGGACTTGAGGAGTCTGTGGCAGGAGGACTGCAAGTGAGACCACCCTAGACAACGTAGTGACACAGGGAGAACTTGAGAGTAAAAATAAAAAGTGGGCTACAGATGGCGCTTATGGCAGAGGCCTTGGGTTCAATACCTAGCACCACAAAACCAAAGACAGTTTCATGCTCTTTTGTAAACATGCATTCCTTTTTTGACTCATGTAAGGGCTTAAGCAGGAAAAGTGTCAACTAGACATACCTAGAAAGGATATGTTCATCAGTCCTGAGTTTTTCAGGAAGCCCCGGCCTTCAGCCTTCGGGGTGCGAGTCTGAGGCAGGGCTGTCGGAGAGTGGAGTAGGGGAAGCTCCTGTGGCTGATGTGCAGGGAGGGGCCAGATCATCTGCACCATCTCCAAACCCTCCTCAGTGTGTGATTCACCCTCATGCATAGGCTGGGGTCTGCGGGAGTGTAGCTTCCACTTGTCAGTATGCCGTCTGTGGGTGCTGTGAGTCTTGTGCAAGTTCCTGCTCAGGTCTCCCTTAGAATACATCAGAAACTTCAGAATAGATCTGTGAAACTAGCCCTACAGGACATATCTACCTCAGACCATTCAACCACGCCCTTGTGCCATGCTTGCCTCTAATCCCTAGAACAATGATCTAAGAATCACGCAAGTATGTTTGTACTACTATGTTTTGTGTTTTGTTATTGTTGTTGTTTGTTTGGGGTTTTTTTTGTGTGTGTGTGTACCAGGGATCGAACTCAGGTCCTTGTGTTTGCGAGGCAGGCTAGGGAACCGCTGAGCCCTGTTTGTTGGTTTTTGAGACAGGGTCTTGCTGTGTAGTTCAGGCTGGCTGATCTAAGAATCACGCAAGTATGTTTGTACTACTATGTTTTGTGTTTTGTTATTGTTGTTGTTTGTTTGGGGTTTTTTTTGTGTGTGTGTGTACCAGGGATCGAACTCAGGTCCTTGTGTTTGCGAGGCAGGCTAGGGAACCGCTGAGCCCTGTTTGTTGGTTTTTGAGACAGGGTCTTGCTGTGTAGTTCAGGCTGGCTGTGGTCCTCCTCCTTCAGCCTCCTGTGAGCTGGGATTACAGGCGTGCACCACCACACCCAGGAAGTATTGTTATTTTGAAATGTGCATCAGACTCCTTCACATAGGTATTTTAAATGGGTTTGTTTTGCTTGGATCTAGGATTGTTGTCATTCCTCATGACAAGGAAGATGGCCCAGAAGCTTGCTCTTCAGATGGTTTTGTCAGATGTACTCCAGAAACTGTCCGTTGTGGCTTAGGTGAGTCTTGACTGTCCTGAAAAATATTTTTTTTTGTCCCGGGGATCGAACTTGGGACCTTTCACTAGCAAGACAGGCAGTGGATCCACTGAGCTAAATCCCCACCCCTTTTCTCAGTGTTCATATATATATATATTTTTTTTTTCCTTTTTTGTTACTGGGGATCAAATTGAGGACCTTGTTACTTTCGAGTAAGGCAG